AATTACGATACCTATCACCCTTTCATTAATGCTATAGTATTCCTCTATGTTTCCAGCTATGTTTCTGTGAATTAGGAACCCCACTCCCAGTTCTCTTCTGTCTGCCAAGCCTCGATAGCAAAGGACGTGCTCATTCCGTAGCACCGTATAAGCCTCATCTGTCCTCCCAACCTCACTGAGCCCTATTATATCCCATTTAACACCCTCTAGCTCCTCAAATAGTACAGCTAGACTTCCCTCACTAGATAAGGTTCTAGCCTTAAACGTTGCCAAGTTCAGGTTCCAAAGGCGGCCTGTCCGCATCCAGAGATTCTTAGCACCCTCTGCTGCGTTGCAGATCTGACCGCCGCCATGGTCAGTTGCTTCGCAGCTGCTGGGGACTGAGGGCCGTGAGTTATTTGACGTATGCATGTGGGAGGTAGTGGCCAGATACTGCACCAGGGTGGCCAATCCTTCTCTAGTGAGGGAGTGTGTTCTCGGTGGTGGTTACCGGTGAGGCCGCACCCCAGGCCTCGTATTGCAGTTCCATCAACACGCGGATTTTTTTTTAAAATTCGGTTGGAAACTGCACGGCACCGGGATTTGAACCACGGATCTCTTATTTTATTAGAATTTTGCTAGAATTTTATTAGAAATTATTTGACCAAAACCACTATTTGCTTTGAACCTAAAATTCACAATTCGCACAAGCCTACGTAAAATGTACACGTTCGTGGCCGAGCCATCTAACGCCACGCGCTGCGGAATGTGTGGTCACCCATTCGAATCTGCAGTTCAGAAAATATTTCAGCCCCTGCAGGCTAGCTCACTTGGTTCCCTGTAGAACACCAAACTATGCTGGGCAGCCAACAACTACCAGTGAAATTCTTTGCACAACATCAGATTCTTAAAATGTGAGGAATGTGCATTATTCTTTTCCTTTCATTCGACCCAAAACATACAGATTCAAAACGCAACCATTTGTGCTTTCATCTACCCTACATTGCCACTGTAGTGTAGATGTAGTGGCAATGTAGGGTACCATCACATATGTGTTGTTATATCATTGAATTTGCTTTCAACGTACTATGCTCGGGCGCAATTCAAGCATGGTTTTGACACAGCTGCTATGTGGAAATTGCATATTCTTTCATAATGTTGCAACTGTGTTTGCCAAGAACATCAAGAAAGTATGCATGTAACATCTCTCGTGTGTGTACATCCTACTTGTTTTAAGACACATTGTTCCAAATCATTTTAAATATACTGACAAATTCAGTTTCTCTAAGAGACATGTGTCACTCATGTCACTAAATTGTTTTCTTTTTGGGTGTTTCCATCGCAGCCTATGCATGCACTTCGTACGAACTGAGTGTGAAAGAATTCTGGACAAGCCCGTCATCAATGGTGGCTCGTGGAAAAGTTGGCTACTGAATGTACAGCAGCTGCGCATGGCTTCTGTTTCCTATGCAAAGGGAGCTTCACTAAGCCACCTGGTTGCTGTATTCAAGTCTCTCGCATGTTCAGGATGTTCAATATTAAGCCTTCTGTTTTTCTTTTAAAAAATCAGTGCTGTAAGTTGTGTGTGCAAAAGCCACCTTTGCAGATAGCTAAGTGTTGAGGGGAACACAATGTGCAACAATAGTTATCACTGTCAGCTGTGCGCTTGAATAAGATTCAATAATGAACTTATTAGTGACTGCAGCAGGCGGTCATAGACGTATCAAAAATTTGAGCCAGTCACATTTCTACATAGGTCCAAAGAATACTGGCATGCCTGTGCTCAAATAACCCACTGAAAAGTTTAGTTGTTGATTGATTAATTGATTTGTGAGGTTTAACGTCCCAAAACCACCATATGATTATGAGAGATGCCGTAGTAAAGGGCTCCAGAAATTTTGACCACCTGGGGTTCTTTAACGTGCACCCAAATCTGAGTACACGGGCCTACAACATTTCCGCCTCCATCGGAAATGCAGCCGCCACAGCCGGGATTTGATCCCGCGACATACGGGTCAGCAGCCTTAGCCACTAAACCACCATGGCGGGGAAAAGTTTTGGTGTGGCTTGTATCATTATGCATGCAGGACAGTGAGCACTAGCACACAGCTACTCCTTCCTGAGGTGCCGCATATATTCTGACCATGAGTCGAAGCCATAGACAAGCATTATAATAGTTACCTTTTTACTACCGCCTGATGATAGCAAGCACTGACTGCTCGTCTCACCAGGGAGTAATGTTTTGCTGATCCTCACTGCCTTGCATGCGTAATCATGAAAAGCACAATAAACTTCCAAGTGGAATATCTCAGAGCATAGACATGCTCGAAGAATTTTTCCATGCGGGAGTGTGTAGAAACACGACTGCCACAAAGTGTTTTATGCAAACATACCCACTTACTGTAGGCACCAAAATTTTGGTATTCTTAGTTACTTAGGCAGCTGACAGCAATATTGTCTTACATTGTGTCCCCCTGGACACATAACTTATCTGCAAAGGCAGTTTTCTGTTCTTAGGGCTCAATTTTATTACAAGCACAAAGCACGTCTCTGAATATGTCAGTGCTGCTTTCTGAGGTTTTATGTCCAGTTTAATTTTTGTGTAATCTGCAGTTAGTCACTTAAAATTGAACTTCCACATTGCAATAAGGCTGTAGCAGATCATGTGTATTATTTTCACTGCAATATTGACTGAATTTTGTGTTTTATTGTTTTTGTAACCTTATTTCATTGTCTTCTCGAATACAATGCCGCAAGTGAAATCAAGTGATTTTCTACTAAAATACTTAATCATACCTAACTTTGCCAATATTTAACCATGTGTGATATAATACAGTGATACCTAACCATGTTTAACAATGTAAATGATGACTGACAGAAGGAATTCTGGAATACTGTAGCGTGTTTTACTGCACTGTGTCTTTTGTGCGAGTATTTTGCGACGAAATTCAAATTTGCGGTGTTGCCAAAACCACAATTTGATTGTGAAACACAGATTTGTGGTGAAACCCATTAATTTCGACTACTCATGGTTCTAACATACCTGAATTTAAGTGCACTGGGTGACAAAAAAAAATAATTGTTTGACTGCTGCTTTTTGGCTGTAACAAATTTTCCACCTTCATATATTATCTGCTAGGACAATGTGTTTGCCGAGCTAGCCTGCTTAATTTCAGTGCACTGATAGAAGTCTGCTCAAGGAGAACAGTTTGGGCCTTTTGTATCTGTGCAAGGTTCCTGGACAAGTATCTGGCCAGCCCCTCAATTGCTTTGTATGAATATAGTTACTATAAAGGATGAAAGTTCGGGACAAAGTCTGCAGTCATTGTTATGTACAATAAAGGTTACAACTATGCAACAATATTTGTTGAAATTTTGCATTTACTTTTGGATGTGCAGTATGGTGCATTACAGGCAACACCAAAAACAATAATCAGTTGACGTTTAAAAGCCTGTCTTGTCTCCAAGCAAAACAGATTATCGTAATGATAGACGGCAGTCACTAATTAATTATTTCAACAAATGTGGCACCAATCTTGCTGATTAGAATAGTGCCAGCAATAATTTGATGCCAAATTATGTTGCTGTCCCTCCTTGTCGCTCTCAACAGTTGACCGATTGTAAAACTCTGACATGATGCAACAAATTAGCCACGGGAAACGCTCAACAATCTGGTTTGCATGAAAAAAAAATGTCTAAAAAAGGTGTTAAAGATCTAGCAAAAGTCTTTTTAGAATCTTGGCAAGAAGTTTACTAGGCTTCTAATAATATAAGTATAGTAAACATTTACAAAAGTTCTTTAAAGAATCTAAAAAGATGTTTTTGAATTCTTGCGACACGTTTTCTAGCCGTATAATAACGTGGCGTTAGCACAGCTATAGAAGGTTTTCAAGCTGCTTAGGTTTAAATAACATCTTGTGAAGACTTCATATATGTTTTTGAACTATCCTGTTTGGACAATTACTAGAAGTTTTTTAGCTTTTCCTGTGTTTCGTGGGTCGTCTTTCCACGCATACGCACTGATACTCAAGGTCACACTCTCTTTGCGGTAGACGAAATTAACACGAAGAAAAAAGTAAAACAGAACAAAATGACACTCAATCTCTGGCTAAAAGAAAATAAAAACATAAAATACAAATAACACTTAGTATTAGACAAAAGAAACATAAAATACACATGACGACTTCAAAAAAAAAAGAAACACTGGCAGCAGACTGGGCGGGGTTGACTTCTTTACGAGAAAAGAAAGGCCGTAAAGGAGCTAACCTATACTGAGGCTAGACAGTAAACTGAGGACCTTCGGTTGCGGAGAAGTTCGGCGCGAAAACACAAAGGTCACCACTTCCTCAGACTATACCGGTGCGCGGTCCGAATGCGGTCCGCCGCTCCGGGTGTGCCCCGTTGCTTGCGCGAAGTGCCGCAGGGCGATGGGGCGAGCTCGTCATACCATGACAAAGGGCTTCAGGTCTGCGACGTGGGCATGACTGAGTTTTCCCAAAGGGGATTTTTCAGCTAGTATGCGCCACGGACTTCTGATGAATGTTGGTCACTACTGTGTATAACTAGAATACTTTTGCACATTGTTAGATTTGCTTTTCTTGATTTCACTGTGTAGAGCTTGTGTCTTTGAACAGCGTGTGAGTTGTATTTTAGTACTCCATTCTGTATCAGCCTTTTGGCTAACAGTATAAATAAATAAAATAAATAAAATTTTAAAAGTTATAACAAATTTCTACGATTTCAGGACAGCTTCGTGCAACTGCAACAGCTGTTGCACACTTGCCCTTGCCCATTCCACATTCTTGTGCATTGTGAGCACAAGGGCAAACAAAACATTCCAGGCACTCACCACTTGGGTGCAAACCCAATGCTGAATTAATGCCAATCAACCCACAATTTGTCACGCCTGTCTTGCCCTACCTTTACAGAAAATTTGCCATGCTAGTTGTCATCAAGACTGTACAGTATAGCGATTTTATCTTTGCTGCCCGTGTCCAATGTGACACATTGTCAGACCTCACCAGGAGTGATGTCAGTGGGTCTTGATGTAAACACCTCTTCACTGTGGCTGGCACCATCAGCCCACTCGGGACTCAGGACATTGGGCGACTGCAGACTGCTGCTGTGAAGGGGACTTCGCAGAGGTGGGCTGGTTCCCAGGTCAAAGTGTAGGCGCTTGGCATTTACCACTGCACAAAAGATACCCGTCTTTAGAACTGTCATACAAAATATGAGGATTGTGAGCAGCTCTTGCTCATGTTCACTTTGAATCAGGGCTGTGCAAAATCAAACTTTTCTATTATAAATTGAATATATGACTGTGAATACAAAATTGATACCGAATAACTAAAAGAGGTGATTTTATCTCCTGTAATCTTTCATTTTACTAAATAGTTATGTCTAAAACAGTACGCTTGTAAGCTTGTAAGTGGCGCATGCACAAGGTCTGTTAACCCGTCAAAGAATATCTATGCAGTTAGACCCCTTTATAAGAGGCATGCTGCAGGAAGCCATTCTTTCTACTAATCGTACAAGTTCTACTAACCTTGCTATTCTTTCCTTATCAGACTTCATCAAACACTCCATGGACGCAGGATTTGTAGTAGGGTCAGTTTTCTTGGACTTCATAAAGGCATTCGATACCATTAATCATCTCATTTTATTCAAGAAACTCGAATCATACGGTATTACAGGTCCATCCCTCAAATTTTTAAACAGTTACCTCCTTAACAGAAAGAATACTGTTTACATATCGGGCTCATTTTCTTCTACTAAAACAATAAATCAAGGGGTTCCTCAAGGGTCATTACTGGGTCCGTTACTTTTTTTACTTTACATTAATGACCTTCCTGACATTATACACATGGCTCACTGCATTTTATATGCTGATGATACTACCATTTCCATTGCTGATAGATGTATTGACATCACTAATAAATTAAATGCTGTACTTTGTAGCATGTCAAAATGGTGCCAGGAAAATTTCTTAGTTATTAATCTAAATAAATCTAAGTTTATGGTTTTTAGATCAGCTCAACGCAAGTTAACTTCCTCCCTACAGCTCACAGTTGACTCTCATTTGATTAATATCAGCGACAGTGTATCTTTTCTTGGCGTTCACCTTGACTCTAACCTTAACTACGCTCTCCATATTGCTCAGATTAGAAAAACGGCAGCATTCGGCATTCGCGCATTACTCAAAGCTCGCTCATATTTTTCTCATAAAGCGCTCCTTTCACTTTACTACGCATTCATTCATTCTCATATCACTTATGGCATCGCATCATGGGGGAATACTTACCAGTGTCATCTTTCATCCGTACAACATCTACAAAATCGAGCTATTCGCACTATTTTTAACTGTTCTAGTGACAGAAGCGCCGCTCCCTTTCTTCAATGCAATAAAATGTTAACTGTTAGCTATCTATTCAGGTTTAATCAAATTATTTTTCTGCATAAACAAATAAGAAATCAACTTTCTGCTAATTTCATTGATCCTAAGATGTTAGTTAATACTAACACAACCAGGTTTGTGGCTAATAATAACTTTTTACTTCCTAAGGTTCGTACTAACTATGGTAAATCATCTTCTCTCTTCTGTACCATCACCATATGAAATAATTTGCCCACCTCGCTAAAATGCAAAGTTTCTTTAATTTCATTTAAAAACTCATTAAAAGGGTGCCTGTTAAATAGCTGATCTATCTTCTTTGTGTTGTTTTATCCTGTATTAATTGTTTTTTGATTCAATGCCTTTTTGTTTTCATTCTGCTTTGTATATTTTTGTTTCTACGATTCTAACAGCTGCTTGTGCTTTTATTATTTGTAATCATCACCGAGGGTCCAATTGCAGTCGTGTACTTTGGGACCCTCGTCTGTATATTTTACTCCCTGTAACATCCTTTTATGACATGATAATAAACTGATTGATTGATTGATTGATTGTCTCTTACATAAAATGTCTCTTGTAAGCAAGGTACCTCATATGCATTTTCTTATCAACCCGTATTTTACTGCAGGCACACAGACTCTTATACTCATTTGTCTCTTATATCAGCATCTCTTATAAAGGGGTTCCACTGTACTTGCCAGGAAGTGCATGGCTGTGCTAAATGGTCAAGCTTGTGACTAGATGGCTTACGTTCAATGCATATGTAGTACCTTGTTTTCTCTATTCATTTTTGTGTGGTCTAACTGCATTAAAATAAAGAAAAACTAAACAAAAGCTCTTGCACCCACAATGGTGGCAAGTACAAGGGCACTGGTCTGATTTCTGCCAAGGCGTTGCGATCGGGTGAAATGCAACAATAACTGCCGATGGTGGTTAAAATTAATCAGGAGTCCCCATGAAAATGTGGTTTTGGGAGTTTTAGCTCATAAGGGCCATTAATTTAATGCTTTATTATTTTTTTTTGCTCCTGTCTTCACCAGTCGACACTCAAAGACGAACAACTACAATTGTTGTACTTCCTTTCTCAAAAACTTTGCACTGGCTACTTTCCTGCAATGTAATGCTGATAGCTGCACGCCAATCGTGAGTATAAAGTGCGTACCGATAATACAAAGAAAGCAGGTGGGATGGGTGATAATAATCGTTGTGTAGCAGAAACATGCCCAATATACACTGTCAGGGTTTACATGAGCAGCAAGCGCACTGTTTTGCCAATTTAAGGACTGGCACTCACTGCCAACTGCAGTAGACCAACATTGGTAAAACGATAGTTATAGCGCGATAACAGAATGACGACACAGAGACAAGAAGGATACAAAGGACATGTCTTCTTGTCTCTGTGTCGTCGTTCTGTTCTCGCGCTATACCTATTGTCATGTCGTACCAACTAGCCCAAGCTGCCACACTTCTAAGTTGGTGGAACATTGAGATCACACGAATTGAGTAAAGCAGGATTTATTGCAAAAGACGCCTGACATGTGCCACCACCAGTAATGAAAAAACGTATGTCATTATGCCATCGTAAGCATTACTAAAAGCACCCACTACATAGACTCGTGTAGCTTTTGTCAATGCGTACACATATCTGGCGATCCGTCAGCAAGAATCGCCGCAGGTACATCTGAAGCGCGGTACCTGCGGCAGTGTAGCTCCAAGCCTTCCTAGCTAGTTGTGTGCACTTCACCGCCTATCAAGCTCACTCAGTCAGAAATGGGATGCTCACTATAATGTACAAGTGTGTTTGCCTGTATGCAGCGAAATTTCTTTGTGCTTGTACTGCCCTGGACCATGGTGCGGCGACTATCTTGTCAGACGTATGTGGCCACGACGAGCTGCTTTCATTAATTCTCTAAGTGACAAGCATTTAATTCACTCACTCCTAACCAGTGTTGTGGAGTTACCACTCCGGAACTAGAATAATCCTTGTATCATTCCACATTTTTGTGACCCCGGGAATTGAATGGGGACAATGTGTGGAGGAATGGAATGGAAATGGAATTGAGCTTCTTTTGCCTGGAATGAAATTACGTCTTTTACCAAAAAACAGAGCACGTTTTGGTTTACGTGCTGTTTTTAAAACTTCAAACATTATTAAATAAGAGCCTCGAATTTAACAATGGAGCAGCATGTTTAAAATGGCTTGGTTGATTAGAAGCACAATACATTTATAAGAAACGTGCTTACTACAAGTTTGTCCTTATATTGACTGTGCTCCTTTGAAGTTTGTCTCTATTTCTCGCATAACAGCTGTCGAGTGGAACTACGATGGCAGCATCCCCTTCCCTCCTTTATGCCTTGTGATTTTTTTTTTAACCCTTGGCGGCACGCCTGCTACAGTCCCCAGCTGTCTGCTGTCTTCACACCCTTCATTTCTTTGTGCTAGGTTCTGTGAATGTCGGCTGACTCAGATGCATGTTAAAAAAAAACACTTCTTTAAGTTGTGATGTGTATTAATGCTGGAGCAATGCTTTTGCTCAGTACAATTTCACTTCGTACCCCCCCCCCCCCCATAACATTGACCATATTTTCCTTCCTGTCTAGACACATGAGCGATTTCGCTCGAAAATCTGTCAGAAAAAGTCTTTAGGTCAGTGAAGCACACAGTCATACACAATGAACTGTGTGCACTCCCCCTCTGTACAGATCTACAGAGAAAGAGAGCTTAAACCTTTGAAAACTTTGGCTCCGGAAGCCGCCTGAGGCAGGAAAGCCCAGGTAACCACAACCAGGGCGGCGCCTCCTCGATTCCTGAAGAAAACCCACGTGCCGAACTAAACGTAAGTTCCCTCTGGGTTAAGGCGGGGGGAGGCCCAGGTGGCGGCTTGAGAAGCACTACCATAATGCACTACTACACAGGCTTTTGTGTCCAGCTGTTCACACTTGAGCAGCTTATGTTTGTAAAGCGCAACACTTTTTTTTTACAACCAACCGCTCAAGGAGCCGTCCTGTCACAATTCGAGTTTTAGAACTAAAGGGCGAATCACTCATTTAGCTTTCAATATTCTGTTGCAAAGTTTCGATTAATGAAACCAAAATAAAATTCTTTTTGCACGTTGTAGTGCTTGTGACCTTTATTATGGAATTTAAATATCTCAAGGACGCTTAAGCACTTTTTATGACATCAACTTAGTAACCAAAAAACTAGTGACTGATTGCCAAACGTGTTTGGGAGATCAAGCCCAGAAAATCAGACGTTCCTGAATCTCAAGCTCAAAGCTGGTAATCCAGCACTACCAGTTCTCCAGGATGGTATAATTTCATTATTATTATCTTTTTTTTTTTTTGTAACTTCGCTAGGTTCCTACGACTCTGCAGATATTCGTGTTCGCATTGCAAAGTAGAGAAGAAAGTGGGGTGGGGGAGCAGACGTATTTTGCTACACTGTTAATAGCTACTACTGTAATATCATGCTCCAATTAGTCATGTAGGCCTGAGTACATGTGCTCTATCAAAGTCGGAGGCGAAGACGCTTTCTCTAGGTCCACCTTTTGTTAGCCAAAATCAATGGCAGCCATGATGTAAAAGTGCGAACCGTCTGCCAATTTGTAAAAGAGAAACCGCGGAAGAGATGCATTATCCCAAGAGATACTGAAGGGAGAAACAAACAATTTTCACAGGTTAATTCTCATTGATACTTCCCACAAAAGGAGCGAATACTCTATGAATGGCCTGGTTTTTATATCACGAGAAGTTTAGTACCTGATACACGTGAATGACCTTTGCGAAAAGAAAGACATT